ACTAAGGCCCTGTGATGATAACTCTTTTTCCTATAAACCACAAAGGCTCAGTGGTAGTAAATCTCCCACTAAAGACCAGCTGTAATGGTAGATTTTAAAACTAAGACTTTTTTAACAAATCCAATGTCTACTGTAAAAATTGATTCCATTCTATCACTGCTGGTATAATGATATGACAGGCCCCAACCTATCAAAGACTTCCTTCTTAATTCTGATGTACATAATATATCAGTGACTTAATGGGTCTCTCATGAGAGAACATTTAGAAAATAAGACATCTTTTTTTCTTTGCTAGACATGAAATCAAGGAAAAAATCCATTAGAATTTCAAGGAACCAATAGGCCCGAAAGATGCAGTCAACCGAAACATATTCTATGCAATATTTATATTGTACCATTTGTACTGCTGGGAGGATATAACAGGATTCAGCAATGTATTTTTTGTATAAACAATGAGCTAAGGGCCTACAGTATGTTAGGATTATTGGTGAGGTTCATTACCTCCATTAAAGGGGCTGGTCCGGGGAAAAAAGTCAAAATAAATGAGTCTAAATGCGTTCTCTGGTCTTCCAAAAGTTACACCACGGCAATATGATGGTCGAATTCTGCTTGCAATGTCCAGTTTTGACCACTGAAATCTCGGGGAAGCCCCGTGTAAATTTAGCGCATATCTATTTATATATGTCACGTGGTTGTTTCGAAAGTGAGGCAGTGAAGATAACAACAATAGCACGTGGTCATGTGCCATGTCGGACTCAACTAGGGGACAAGACAGCAATACTATACGTAAATAATTGTTTTCAAAGGTCATGTTTGATGCAAGTGTAGTATTCCTACCTATATGTTGTTGTTATATATAATGGTATTGATACATCGTGCCTTTCATGACTTTTGCAGGCATCTTTATCTTTCGCCGCGATGTTTACATTTGGCCTTGTTGATGACGCGCGTGTGGTAAAATTACATCACTGATCTGAGTCAATTGAGAGTTTAAGACTGTCGGGTGACGATTTAGGATTTCTTTAATATAATTATAATTTTTACTCTTAGGGAGTGAATTTCAGCAAAATTTGAATCGGTATATTTCATAAGAAGGTATTTTAAACATGTGTATGCCATTTTAGCAAATATGACATTTTTTCCCCGACCAGCCCCTTTAACACTGTTCAAAGTGCAACCTATTTCATTACGGTGTTTGCCAATAATGAAATGTAATTACTTTTAGGTTTTAAGGTTTTCACACACCATATAATTTCAGTGAAGAATATCTTTAATTTTTGGAGAAATTTGTAAAGTGTATTTGGTTAATTCATTTGAAGCAAAAACTGTGTGATTTCTTATTTTTTTTTAAATGTTATCATTCAGAAAGAAATCTTAAACTCTTAACAATTGTGAATGAGGTCGACACATTTAATTGAGAACCTATAGCTATAACATCAGTGAAGGGCTGGCTACTTGAGTCCACGGATAGTAATGAGCCACCCCTAAATCGGATTGTAAATGACTTGACATATTGATGGGTTGAAGATGATTACTGCTGTTTTATTGACAGATGAGCGACAGATACAGAGAATGTCCTCCATCTCAAGGTCAAAAAATAAATCACCAATTATCACAAATAAATCAGGGCCAGTTTTTTGGTAGATTCCTTTTCCGTACATAGTTCGCTTGACCGGGGGTATCATACTTTGTATGCAGTAGGTATATATAGCTGTATAGAGTATATCTTATCCTTTAACCTATTCACCCCTGAAGACACATTTGAACTCTTCCAATTCAAAGGTTGGAATAGTTCATTATGAATTTTCAGGGGTGAATGTGTTAAGCAGTAATATTACCTTGTATACAGTAAATATAACCCTATGTAACATAGCATATAAAATTACATATACTGTCACTGAGATAATGTGTCACTGAGATAATGTACGTGTCACAGAGATAATGTGTCACTGAGATAATGTGTCACTGAGACAATGTGTCACTGAGATAATGTGTCACTAGAGATAATGTGTCACTGAGATAATGTGTCACTGAGATACTGTCACCAATGATAATGTGACAACTGTTTTGAGACAGAGATCATCTCAAAACAAGTTACCCAGGAGGCTGGCTAGAAGATAATCACACCTTCTCATATATAGATGTAACAGGCACCTGTGTTTCCAACTGCTAACACAATTACTGCCTAATTAAACAGTCTGTAGTGGTGACAAATATGGGTGTCTACAATCTCATGTGATACATACACAAGTATTGGCAAATATACTGGTATCCAAGAGTCTGGCCAAAAGTGTCTGCCAATGATGTATAGTGCCAGAGGTTGGAATTACAGCATTCTTGCCTGAACTACACCACCGACAACCTTGAGCTTAGCCAGTAGTTACAGTATTCCCACTCAGATAACTAAAACATATCCCTGACCATTTACAGTGACAGGCTTTCTGTTACACCAGTCAATTCCCTGTCTTACAATTTGGATACCCAGTATTTATCCCCACTTCTGTGCTCATCCCTCGGTTCATCATCATCCACTTTGAGGTGGTCATCTACTGGCCAACTATAGTGGTCAGATACAATTATTCGACCAGATATGATCAGCTTTAAACAGAGACCACTTTTCCTTAATTACAAATAATAATGTTGTGAGATGATTTATAGCATTAGTGTTCAGATGGTTGATCAATACATATAGCATGTGGTATTACGGGGACCAATAATTATCATGGTTGACAGGCGTCAACTCGGAGACCAGGCTACCTACAAAACATTCCTATCCTCAATACATAGTAAGAGATGTTTGAGCAAGGTAAAAAATGTAACAATCAACATACATGTAGTCCCCAGGCAGGTTATAACACAAGTTACATTTGAAGAAGTAACAATAAAATGAGGTAGAATAGACAGTAGGAGATATATAAACAATGTACCTCCTTAGTCCTGCATAAATGTTATCCAGATATGTGGATACTTTTTATAGCCCTGCCTAAAAGTAAAACAAAAGTACCATCACCTTCCTCCAGCCTCCCTCTAACCTCCCTCCAACCCCCCTCCAACCCCCTCTAGCCTTCCTCTAACCTCCCTCTAACCTCCTTCCAACCCTCCTCCAACTCCCTCCAACCCCCTCCAACCTCCTCCAACCTCCCTAAAATATCTTCTATTTCAAATAATTCAATATTGATTGTGAACCTGAAAAAAGAAAGAACTTGAACAGGAGAGAAGAAAAGAATATTTATCTGTCCCCACCTGGCCAAATCCCCATCCCATGTGCCAGGAAATTATTGCACAATAATTTCCAATCGCTGGCATCAAATTTTTTGAGGGAAGGCATATAGATTTCATATTATATGTAATAGTCATTGCCCATTCTCTGTGGTATTATAATGAGGATTTCAAAGATTGAACTTGATGGACAACAGACCTAAATGTAGACAGTGAGTGAGGCTGTGCAATGACATAATCTCATTTGCCCTTCGTGCAGGTGTTTCAGCTAATCAGAGGACAAAGGTGGCCATTTTTAATTTCCTGAGACGTATCAGGGTCTTGATCAAAGGGTTGAAACATTTGGCTTAAATCATTCTGGTGGAGCTTGAGAAGAGGTTAAAAATGTGTTAGAAAATTGGAAGCAAAAACAGCTAGGATAGAGTTTGAACTGGCTGACTTGGTAACAGCCATAAAATAATCGTTTTAACTAAGTATGTGATTAAAATCACATTGGCAGTTGTTGCAAAGAGTATGAAAAGTTCTGAGAGCTAACTGGCCACAGATGGGAGAAACAGACAAACACAATACATTTGGCCTTAACTCATTTATCCCTACATATTTAAACTGGACTTGCCTAGTACATGTAATTGATTTGGTAAGGTTCAAATGTGACTTTAGGTGCGAATGGGTTTACAATAGTTTTACTTGACCCAGAATGATCTCTCAAAACAGATTCTACAGTAAAATCCTTGCAAATTCACTGATGAAACCGAGTAAAACATGCTCCATCTAAACATATGTAACACATTGAATGTAGCATCAGTCAGCACTATAAGGAATCAGGAACATCATTAGAAAATCTTTTCAATTGATTAAAGAAACTTTGCTAAAATTCATCAGGTTTCTGTGGTTTACCCAAAAAATGGGTCTCCACCTTCACTACATGTCAGCGTCTGTTCTTATCAACAGTCCATTTTATCTGTAATGTACATGTCAGCGTCCGTTCTTATCAACAGTATATTTTATCTGTAATGTACATGTCAACGTCTGATCTTATCAACAGTCCATTTTATCTGTAATGTACATGTCAGCGTCTGTTCTTATCAACGGTCCATTTTATCTGTAATGTTCATGTCAGTGTCTGTTCTTATCAACAATCCATTTTATCTGTAATGTTCATGTCAGTGTCTGTTCTTATCAACGGTCCATTTTATCTGTAATGTACTTGTCAGCATCTGTTCTTATCAACAAGTCAGCGTCTGTTCTTATCAACCGTCCATTTTATCTGTAATGTTCATGTCAGTGTCTGTTCTTATCAACGGTCCATTTTATCTGTAATGTACATGTCAGCGTCTGTTCTTATCAACAGTCAATTTTATCTGTAATGTACATGTCAGCATCTGTTCTTATCAACAGGTCAGCGTCTGTTCTTATCAACAGTCCATTTTATCTGTAATGTACGTGCAGCAGTATATATATATATTAAGAAAGACCTGTGAAATAGAAATCACCCAAGTCTGGTTGAAGTTCTTCCATGCTTTTAAGAGGAAATTAACGAAAACCAAGATGTCAATCCTAGGTTTTTAGATGATGTGACTGAGGATACAACATTTACCCTTGGACATTGATCCCTAGTGGTGTCATGGTTACTGCTACTGATGCAAATTCATAGAAAAACACTGTTGTTTCGAATCATCGTATAAATAATTTTGCTGTATGTAAAAATCCTCTTTCACAGCTTGTGCACTCACTGATAACATTTTGATCTGTCTGTAAATAAACGCTGTGTAGGAGCCTACCTTTGTCTCTATGTTTGGGGGAGGCTCTTCTATAGCTGTCCAGTTCAGGTGAGGAGGGCGGAGTCAGGGTGCTGGCTCCAGATCCCATGGTTACCAATCATTTGGGTCCTATTCTTCTGAGATATCAAAAGTTAGTCAACTTCTGTAAATTAAAAAGTAAAAATGTCTAGTTACAAACAGCTAATGTAGCACAACAACTTTTAGTTACACACAACTCATTTAAAACCACCTTTAGCTGCAAACAAGTCCTGTAAAACAACAACTTTAAAGCTGACAATACAAGTTAAAAAGCTTTCAATTGAGATTAATACAAAAATTAAAAAAAAAAAAATCTCGTTTTGAGATGTTACCCAGTGACATTCCTCTTCCAGCTGTCGTATCAAAGAAAACGTGGACATTTTAGAATGTACGTGCTTGGTTATGAGTAGGGGTCTCCCCCTGGGTATAAAAAGTGCATTACCTGTCAAATCAGTTATCATTTGTTCAACATATGCACAAAGTGACAATACAATATAAATAGAAAGCTTTCACGATTTTGACCCATCATTTTTTTATCAGATCAGTTGTATAAAATGGAAATGCAAAACTACAACCTTCAATAACAACACAATTCCTGTAAAACAACAACTTTAGGTTACAAACAACTCCTGTATAACAACTTAAGATTTACACACAACTCCTGTAAACCAACAAGATATAGTTACAAACATATCCTGTACAACAACTTTTAAAAACAAACTCCTATAAACCATCTTTTAGGTAACAACAACAATGGTAAAACATTATCTAGTTACAGACAACAGTAAAACAACAACAATGGTAAAACGTTATCTTGTTACTGACAACAGTAAAACAACAACAATGGTAAAACAGCATCTAGTTACAGACAACAGTAGTATCGTCTAGTCAGAGACAGTTCCTGCTTATAAACAATATAAAATTAGTTAGAAGTCCATACTACAAAGCTTCTGTTAAAACTCAGAATATGGCTTACACAAACAGCCCCAGAATAACGTTTCATGAGGACTGGAGTAGGTAGATTGGCTGTGTTGGATAAATTGGTTTCTCATTAATTAAAGTTTGTCAAGTTCAGCAGACAATAATGTAACGGATCGATAGGCTTCTTTCACATGTAGATAGAACAGCAGCTTGGAGGGGATTTTCATAGCAATTACAAAACATTTATCTACACCTTAAATATACATTTAGGTCTAAGCTCTCTTTAATCCACATGCAATATTACACAAGAGTCACTTTCTGGAAACCAAAAATAATTTACAAATTCAAAAACAGCTTTATCTTACATCAATCCTGAATTTCCACAATCTGTAAGCCATACTGGTATACATGTATTCTGTTTATTAGATGAACCAATGTAAATAAGAATTGAGGGAGACTTTTTAGTAGTGGAACTATTGCTGAAGAGGACTGAGGGAGATTTGTTGAACAGAAGAACTACATATATAGCTGATAAGGACTGAGGGACATTTGTTCAGCTGTTAAACTATAGCTGTTGAGAACTTATATATAATTAGGGAGATTTGTTTAGCTGTTAAACTATTCCGTCTTTGCGTATTGCAGAGTTATCTTCTCTTGTGAGCAGGTATTGATTGTTACGTCATTTGTTTGTGAGAATAACGTCATCAATTTTTGAGAAAACGACGTAATTTTCTCACACAAACCAATGACGTAACAATCAATACCTGCTCACAAGAGAAGATAACTCTGCAATACGCAAAGACGAAATAGCTGATGACTGAAGGAGATTTGTTTAGCTGTTAAACTATAGCTGATGAGGACTAAGGTAGCTGTGTTTAGCTGTTAAACTATAGCTGATGAGGACTGAGGGAGATTTATTTAGCCGTTTAACTATAGCTGATGAGGACTAAGGGACATTTGTTTAACTTTTAAACTATAGCTGATGAGGACTGAGGGAGCTGTGTTTAGCTGTTAAACTATAGCTGATGAGGACTAAGGGAGATTTGTTTAACTGTAAAACTATAGCTGATGATGACTAAGGGACATTTATTTAACTGTTAAACTATAGCTGATGAGGACTGAAGGAGATTTGTTAAGCAGTTAAAATATTGCTTTTGAGGACTCAATGAGTTTTTTTAGGACATTGGAGGAAATTTATTTTGCTGTTCAACACTGAGGGAGATATAACTGTAATTATCAGGTCAAGGTTACATTTCCTAGAAATATTTCGAGGATATATTGCATCTTTATGTTGAATTGAAGAGATTTTCTTGGTGTCTGTTGTTAACACTGATGTGTGTTTCTACACCTGATCAGATTATGTCTAGATTGATCAGTAACAGGCGACACCTGTCTTCCATCCCACTTAATTATGTGTCACCATGTTACAGGTTAAGGTCATACTCCATAGTCAACACTAACAAAATTGATTTATTCAAGAAGAAACAAAAATATCAATTGTGAAAATAATCATTACTCTGAAATTGAGAAAATGACCAAGATAATAATAAATAGATTTTTGATTTTGTACAGACACAATTCAGTAAATATTTTACCATTTATGAAAGGAAAAATTATCAAAGCCAGAACTAACAAGAATTGATCACTAATGACTAACTTTGTTGTATGTGATGCCATATTAGATTTAAATGACGATAAATATCTATCAAATTTACAATAAAATTGCATAAGGGGATGGAGGGAGAACATCCTCTAACATATGTTCTAGTCCTCACCGGGGATGGGGGTAGGGGCATCCTCAGACATTTCCTATCATCATTAAACAAACTTTAAGCCCTTCATCACAGCATGCTATTTGTCAAATATCATCACTCTTAGCCTCCTTTTTATTTAAATGTTTTAATACATTTCATTTGACCCACATTGACCAACCAAAATGGGTCAAGGTCATTCATTTAAACCAACTTGATAGACCTCCTTCCTAGGAGATTGCTGGCAAACTATCAATTCTCTCTTGATGACAGAAGGTTTTCAAGATAAATATATGTTTGACTCCTATGACCTTTAAAGTGGGTCAAGGTCATTCATTTTAACAAACTTGATAGCCTTCCATCTAAGCATGCTACTGACCAAATGTCATCACCCTACACCTCTTGGTTTATTAATTTTCAGAATTCATTTAGGCTAAATGATGAGGTATGTGTGTTCTATATGTTCACAAAGAAAAGGTTAGTATATTCTAATACAAAATGTCCATACTGCTGAGTTTAGTGTATTTTAATGCAAAATGTACAGACAGATGAGGTTATATTTTATATACAAAATGCCCAGACTGATGAGGTCAGTACATTTTATATACCAAATGTCCAGACTGATCAGGTTCATTTTATTGTATTACATGCAATCTGTCCTTTTTTGTATAGACATTTCCTAGGTGAGATATGCGAGCACTGACCTGATGCCTATTAATATCACTGTTTGTTGTAGTCTTTGGGAAGTTGTTTCCAAACAGATCATTGTATAGATTTTACTGGTGTAACATTTCCATGCGACTCCAGTATGAAATCCAGTAGCCCTGACTGAAGCTTACATAACAAAGTGATAACAACAATTATCAGATAGAGTACAACAGTACTACACAGGAACTCCAGTTATATAAAACAACAGTACTGTATAACACACAGATCATGATGATAATCAGTTATCAAACAAAGTACCGTATTACACACAAGTCCCACTGACAATCAACAGTACAAACAGATCATATTGACAATCAGTAAAGTGAAATGTACCAGAGGCCTAATAGGCCTGTATTGTTCACCTGTCATTCAGTTCACATTTGTGACCTTCCTTTTTTGTACCTCAATTCGTTTAAGTGTTGAGAGGCAACAGAACAAGTAACGCTAACCTATCATGCCTTCGCCATGAAGGGATGATATTTTAAGCAACCTGCCTTCATAACGTATCATGCCTTCGCCATGAAGGGATGATATTTTAAGCAACTTGCCTTCGCGTTCAGGAAAGCAAAGGAAAGATAAATAGCTTGGGGTTATCTTGTTCAGTAACCTCTCAATATGCGAAGGCGAAGGAAAAACAAGTCAAAGAAAGGAAGACAATGAAATGAGGATAAGGGAATTCTTATTTGCACCTTGCTAACTACGTTTCTTCTTCCTTTCGATTGCCTTTGAACACTAATTAGCGTCCTTTCGTGGCAAACTAACATTAACAATCATTTCTTTACCCATGCAATATGAAGGCAATGAATTGGATACGATCGTTGTCCTCTCCTGCAACACTAAATAAACTACACCAGTGTGTCATACAAAGAGCATTTCCTGAGACAAAGTTTGTGTATGTCTAGTTCACTAACAAACAGACAGAAGGCACAAGAATTCTACGTATTATGGTTCTTATCTGTTTGTTTTTAATCAATAGGCCACTTTTCTTGTGCGACATTAACAAACTACTAACATATACAACCTTAAGGTTTTTGACGGATGAACTTTTAGGAGTCCTATAAATGGGCCATTTTAGGGGAGTTAATGTGTGCACATGCACACACCTTTTAGATTCCTATACCACTTAACAGCTGAAGCTATTTATGCATTGGAGAAACTTTTCCAGTATATATATCTTTTATAAATCACTTCAGCAAAAAAAAATACCTGTAAGGGAATATGAGTCTAGGAAAGCCACATAAATGCTATAATGATAATCAATGAAGGTAAATGTAAGTATGAAACACGACAGTAAAACTCTTAATATTTTGTCTCCAAGGCAGACAGGGATCCTTCATTGAGTTTCAATGAAAACTGATTTTGAGGTTTACCCTGAATTTTCTAGTCTCAGAGTTTGCTCTGTGATAGGTCTACTTCAAAATGAGAAATTTCTTATACAAAAGCATCTGACTCAATCTCCAAAATGTGGAACTAATTTCTCCTCTAAGAAATCTCAAGTGTTTAACATAAAGATAGTGAGACAACTTGTACTGTAAACCGTATATGACCTTAAAAGTGTGATGTTTTGTACTCCAAGGACGTTTTTTCATTGACAGAATCCAAATTAAAGCTCCAGATTTACTGTCCATTACACCCAGTTTTACAGACTTTGACATAAAATGTCTACCAGATATCCTCAGTCTCTGCAATCTTTGAGTGCAATGAGTACAGACTTAAATTTAACTAACACATTAGCCAAGACAGCTTATACTTCCCCTGAAAACAATTGTATCTATGGAAACCAAATTAATGCTAAAACCCTGCTGATGGTTTTTTCTCTGTAAGGGTGGTCTATCAACATATCACCATGACAGTTTCAATTTGCTTGGAACCAAAGCTGACACAATTACATGACTTACCAATGCTTGAGGACTGTCTTTATAGAGGTCTATCAGACAGTGCTCGCTCCAGACAGGATCTATGTTGATGTCAGCAGCAGTCATTAACACATAAACCCTTATTTGTGTACCTCATTTCTACATGGGGACATGTTCAGAATTAAACCCTCTGAATACATGTATGTTCAAAATGAACCCAGGAAGTATTATCAACTTACATTTTTTTTATAAATACATTTATTATTTTTTCATATTATTCCCGACAACTGATTGGCCAGGAATGCATCACGTGTCCACCGATAAAAACCAATATTGACTTGGAGCACGTGATTATTGTTGAAGGACTGGGTGTTTTTAAAAATAGAATTATGATGCGACTCCAAACAAACACATCGTACCGCTTCCGTAGATTTTTGCGGTGATTTTTTTTTCAGATTGCTAACATTACTGTTTTGAAAATAATAAAACAATTGTAGCCTTTGACTTCGGTCGATACCTGGATTTATCGACCCGAAAAAAAATATATTGACCTTGGACTGCGTCCTCTGTCAATATATCTTATTCGGATCGATAAATCCAGGTATCGACCTCAGCCAAAGGCTATAATTGAAAAGTATTTAGATGATACCGTCTTATCAAGCATGACATGAGGTTTACTGTCAAGTTCTAAACTGAAACATTTCAATGAAGATAGTTTTAAGATTTACAGTCATGTTTTCATGTCAAAATCCACATCGCTATGCCTTCATTTTACAGCCAAGATTTCTTGTCAAATATCAAAGACTTTTATAATGTTTACTGTGGAGTTTTCCCAACGAAAATAGACATCAAGGACTAACCCAATGTTAACTGCAAAATTTGTAATCAATATTAGTGTTTAGTCTGTCTATCTCCTTTACTAAGTAATAATACTATAACGATAAAACAAATTTAAATAGAAGCAACAGAAATATTATTAAACCTGATCCAAGAAAATGTTTAAATAGGTATTTATACCCTAATTCACATCATTTTAAAGTACTACCTTGTATAACTGGTAGATGATGGTCCCCTGCTTTCCCTGTCACACACACACACAGCGTCAATCGTTCTGATGCGGTATTAGAGAGGCTAGCTGGAGAGCTACTGGTTTGTACCATAAAGGCTGGCCTCGCTGCTGTTCTCCCTCTCTACTGCCTATCAGTACAGACAAGCACAGATACATCAGCTATTGCAACGCTTCCCTAACCAGGCTTCTCTAACCAGGCTATTAGTGCTTCTCAAACCAAATTTCTCTAACAATGCTTCTCTAACCACACATTTCTAACCACACTTCTCTAACCAAGTATACATACCACACACATTTCTTACCATCACCTCTCCAAAAGAAATTCTCTAACTAAACATCTCTAACTGTTCAGTTCATACCATGCTTCTCCAACCGCATTTATAACCATGCTTCTTGAACCATTATATTTATAACCATGATCCTCTTACCACAATTTCTAACCATGCTCTCTAACCACACTTTTCTAACCATGTTCAATAACCATACATTTCTAACCAAACTTCTCTAACCACATTTTTCTAACCACACTTCTCTAACCACACATTTCTAACCACACTTCTCTAACCATACATTTCTAACCACACTTCTCTAACCACACATTTCTAACCATGATTCACTAAGATAACTTCTCTAACAGAACATCTCTCACCAAACATCTCTGACCATTTATTAAATTACACATTTCTAACCACACTTTTTAAACTCACATATCTAAAACCACACTAATCTAACCAAACTCATAATCCAAACAGTAAATGATTGGTTATTTCACAAATTGGCCCTAAGGGCCAACTGAACATATGCAGCATTTCATCTGTCTACAGTAAAACTTTTAGCCAACAGTTATCAGATGGTCGGTCGGCTGTTCAAACTACCTTTCATCTTTGGTCTGTCCTCAAGGGATCTTTAACGGTAATAGTGCTGGCTGTCACGGAAAATAGAACAACTGTATTAGTGTTAGCTGTCATAGATAGTGGGACAACTGTATTAATGTTAGCTGTAATAGATAGTGGGAAAACTGTATTAGTGTTAGCTGTCATAGATAGTGTGACAACTGTATTAGTGTTAGCTGTCATAGATAGTGTGACCACTGTATTAGTGTTAGCTGTCATAGATAGTGTGACCACTGTATTAGTGTTAGCTGTCATAGATAGTGTGACAACTGTATTAGTGTTAGCTGTCATATATAGTGGGACAACTGTATTAATGTTAGCTGTAATAGATAGTGGGAAAACTGTATTAGTGTTAGCTGTCATAGATAGTAGAACAACTGTATTAGTGTTAGCTGTCATAGATAGTGTGACCACTGTATTAGTGTTAGCTGTCATAGATAGTGTGACCACTGTATTAGTGTTAGCTGTCATAGATAGTGGGACAACTGTATTAGTATTAGCTGTCATAGATAGTAGGACAACTGTATTACTGTTAGCTGTCAGAGATAGTTGGACAACTGTATTAGTGTTAGCTGTCATAGATAATAGGACAACTGTATTAGTGTTAGCTGTCATATATAGTGGGACAACTGTATTAGTGTTAGCTGTCATAGGTAGTGTGACAACTGTATTAGTGTAAGCTGTCATAGATAGTAGGACAACTGTATTAGTGTTAGCTGTCATAGATAGTAGGACAACTGTATTAGTGTTAGCTGTCATAGATAGTAGGACAACTGTATTAGTGTTAGCTGTCATAGATAGTAGGACAACTGTATTAGTGTTAGCTGTCATAGATAGTAGGACAACTGTATTAGTGTTAGCTGTCATAGATAGTAGGACAACTGTATTAGTGTTAGCTGTCATAGATAGTAGGACAACTGTATTAGTGTTAGCTGTCATAGATAGTAGGACAACTGTATTAGTGTTAGCTGTCATAGATAGTAGGACAACTGTATTAGTGTTAGCTGTCATAGATAGTAGGACAACTGTATTAGTGTTAGCTGTCATAGATAGTAGGACAACTGTATTAGTGTTAGCTGTCATAGATAGTGGGACAACTGTATTAGTGTTAGCTGTCATAGATAGTGGGACAACTGTATTAGTGTTAGCTGTCATAGATAGTGGGACAACTGTATTAGTGTTAGCTGTCATAGATAGTGGGACAACTGTATTAGTGTTAGCTGTCATAGATAGTGGGACAACTGTATTAGTGTTAGCTGTCATAGATAGTGGGACAACTGTATTAGTGTTAGCTGTCATAGATAGTGGGACAACTGTATTAGTGTTAGCTGTCATAGATAGTGGGACAACTGTATTAGTGTTAGCTGTCATAGATAGTGGGACAACTGTATTAGTGTTAGCTGTCATAGATAGTGGGACAACTGTATTAGTGTTAGCTGTCATATATAGTGGGACAACTGTATTAGTGTTAGCTGTCATAGATAGTGGGACAACTGTATTAGTGTTAGCTGTCATATATAGTGGGACAACTGTATTAGTGTTAGCTGTCATAGAAAGTTGGACAACTGTATTAGTGTTAGCTGTCATAGATAGTGGGAGAACTGTATTAGTGCTGGCTGTCATAGATAGTAGGACAACTGTATTAGTGGTAGCTGTCATAGATAGTGGGACAACTGTATTATTGTTAGCTGTCATAGATAGTCGGACAACTGTATTAGTATTAGCTGTCATATATAGTAGGACAACTGTATTAGTGTTAGCTGTCACATATAGTAGGACAACTGTATTATTGTTAACTTTATTTATGGTGGCTAGATAAACTATTTGAATGAAGTCATCTGCACCTTCAGAATTATTTCTTTCTTACAGCCCTATCTGTCATTGATAAAAACCTGTACAACAGCCAGCGGTAAGTTTGTTAACATAACACGAAATAGTTGCTGATTGATCATGACAGGATTCACTTCCAATGTTGTCTCACCAGCTACTTACTGATGCATATACATGTAGGCTAAATAATGTGCCTGCTCACCAGCCCCTTTGACATTTTTACAGCTGCTGATGAATATCCACTGGTTCCTTTACAGTGTATAAAACTCATCTGCTCCAGCAGATTATTGATACAAATTTGTATCGGGAGATAAAGCTCATCAGTGCACATAGCTACGTAGTGTGTTAAGGAGGTAGATGAGCAGCAGCACGGTGGTCGGGCACTACTGCAGCCATTGACAGATATCGACAGCACATATTACATCAATGCTTCCTTATGTTTTATGTCTGTTGTTTACTGAATTGTGTTCATCATTTCCATTACCATTTTGAAAACAAATTGGAAACATTACAAATTATAATAATGAAATATCTATGATTAAGAATTAAAGTCAACATATCAAACACCTAATTTAAGGCAGCACTTTAATCACCGATGTCCATATAGTACATCAAATACCATCGTCCATTTCCAAACACTGTTGTCCAGGCAGAACTTAAATTATCATTGTTAATACAGCAGATCTAGAAGATGGACAACAAAATAAGAGGATTGCCAAAAACCCAAGAGAAAATACATTAGACCAAGAAGATTGACAAAAAGCTAAGAAAATGGTCAGCAAACCAAGACGGTGGACAACAAACCGTGAAGGTAGACAATGAACCGTGAAGGTGGACAACAAACCATGAAGGTAGACAATGAACCGTGATGATGGACAATGAACCGTGAAGATGGACAATGAACCAAAACGGTGGACAATAAACTAAAATGGTGGACAACAAACCGTGAAGGTGAACAGAAAACCAATAAGGTGGACAACAAACCAAGAAGATGGACAACAAACTGTAAAGGTGGATAACAAACCGTGAAGGTTGACAACAAAACGTGGAGGTGAACAACAAACCAAGAGGGTCAGAAACAAACAAAGATGATGGGCAACAAACAAAGAAGGTTGATATTACACAAAGAAGGTGGACAACAAATCAAGAAGATGAACAGCAAACGAAGAAGGTGAACAGCAAACCAAGAAGATGGACAGCAAACCAAGAAGGTGCACAGCAAACCAAGAGAGTGGGAAACAAACCAATAGGGTGGGAAACAAACCAAGAGAGTGGGAAACAAACCAAAAGGGCGGGAAACAAACCAAGAGGGTGGGAAACAAACCAAGAGAGTGGGAAACAAACCAGGAGAGTGGAAAACAAACCAAGATGGTAGGAAACAAACCAAGAGGGTGGGAAACAAACCAAAAGGGTGGGAAACAAACCAAGTAGGTGGGAAACAAACCAATAGGGTGGGAAACAAACCAAGAAGGTGATCAGCAAATCAAGAGAGTGGGAAACAAACCAAGAGGGTGGAAAACAAACCAATAGGGTGGGAAACAAACCAAGAGGGTGGGAAACAAACAAAGAGAGTGGGAAACAAACCAGGAGAGCAGAAAACAAACCAAGATGGTAGGAAACAAACCAAGAGGGTGGGAAACAAACCAGGAGGGTGGGAAACAAACCAAGATGGTAGGAAACAAACCAAGAGGGTGGGAAACAAACCAAGAGGGTGGAAAACAAACCAAGAGGGTTGGAAACAAATAAAGAAGGTGGACAGCAAACACAGAAGATGGACAGCAAACACAGAAGGTGGACAGCAAATACCGAAGGTGGACAGCAAACACAGAAGGTGGACAGCAAACACAGAAGATGGACAGCAAACCAAGAAGGTGAACAGCAAACCAAGAAGGTGCATAGCAAACACAGAGAGTGGGAAACAAACCAATAGGTTGCGAAACAAACCAAAAGGGTGGGAAACAAACCAAGAGGATGGGAAACAAACCAAGAGGGTGGGAAACAAATCAATAGGGTTGGAAACAAACCGAGAAGGTGAACAGCAAATCAAGAGAGTGGGAAACAAACCAAGAGGGTGGAAAACAAACCAATAAGGTGGGAAACAAACCAAGAGTGTGGGAAACAAATCAAGAGAGTGGGAAACAAACCAGGAGAGTGGGAAACAAACCAAGATGGTAGGAAACAAACCAAGAGGGTGGGAAACAAACAAAGAGGGTGGGAAACAAACCAAGAGGGTGGGAAACAAACCAGGAGAGTGGGAAACAAACCAAGAGGGTGGAAACCAAACCAAGAAGGTGGACAGCAAACACAGAAGGTGGACAGCAAACACAGAAGATAGACAGCATACACAGAAGGTGGACAGCAAACACAGAAGATAGACAGCAAGCACAGAAGGTGGACAGCAAACACAGAAGGTGGCCTTCAAACCAAGTAGGTGGCCTGCAAACACAGATGGTTGACAGCAAAAACAGAAGGTCGACAGCAAACCAAGAAGGTGGCCTGCAAACCAAGAAGGTGGACAGCAAACACAGAAGGTGGACAGTAAACACAGAAGGTGGACAACACACCAAGAAAGTGGACAGCAAACACAGAAGGTGGACAGCAAACACAGAGGGTGGCCTTCAAACCAAGAAGGTGGCCTGCAAACACAAAAGATGGACAGAAACCAAGAAGGTGCACAGCAAACACAGAAGGTGCACAGCAAACACAGTAGGTTGGCAACAAACACAGAAGGTTGGCAACAAACACAGAATGTGGACAGCAAACACGGAAGGTGGACAGCAAACACAGAAGGTGGACAGCAGACACAGAAGGTGGACAGCAAACAAAGAAGGTTGGCAAAAAAACAAGAAGGTTGGCAACAAACCAAGAAGGTGGACAGCAAACACAGAAGATGGACAGCAAACCAAGAAGGTGGACAGCAAACACAGAAGGTGGACAACAAACCAAGAAGGTGAATAACAAACCAAGAAGGTGGACAGCAAACACAAAAGGTGGCCTACAAACCAAGAGGGTGGAAAACAAACCAAGAGGGTGGGAAACAAACCAAGAGGGTGGGAAACAAACCAAGAGAGTGGGAAACAAACCAAGATGGTATGAAACAAACCAAGAGGGTGGGAAACAAACCAGGAGAGTGGGAAACAAACCAAGATGGTAGGAAACAAACCAGGAGAGTGGGAAACAAACAAAGAGGGTGGGAAACAAACCAAGAGGGTGGGAAACAAACCAAGAAGGTGGACAGCAAACACAGAAGGTGGACAACAAATCAAGAAGGTGGACAGCTAACACAGAAGATAGACAGCAAATACAGAAGGTGGACAGAAAACCAAGAAGGTGGCCTGCAAACCAAGAAGGTGGACAGCAAACACAGAAGGTGGACAGTAAACACAGAAGGTGGCCTTCAAACCAAGAAGGCGGCCTGCAAACACAGATGGTTGACAGCAAAAACAGAAGGTGGACAGCAAACCAAGAAGGTGGCCTGCAAACACAGAAGGTGGACAGCAAACACAGAAGGTTGACAACAAACACAGAAGGTGGACAGCAAACCCAGAAGGTGGACAGCAAACACAGAAGGTTGACAACAAACACAGAAGGTGGACAGCAAACCCAGAAGGTGGACAGCAAACACAGAAGGTTGACAACAAACACAGAAGGTGGACAGCAAACCCAGAAGGTGGACAGCAAACACAGAAGGTTGACAACAAACACAGAAGGTGGACAGCAAACCCAGAAGGTGGACAGCAAACACAGAAGGTTGGCCACAAACACAGAAGGTTGGCACCAAACACAGAATGTGGACAGCAAACACAGAAGGTAGACAGCAAACACAGAAGGTTGACAACAAACACAGAAGGTGGACAGCAAACCCAGAAGGTGGACAGCAAACACAGAAGGTTGGCCACAAACACAGAAGGTTGGCACCAAACACAGAATGTGGACAGCAAACACAGAAGGTAGACAGCAACCACAGAAGGTTGACAGCAAACACAGAAGGTGGACAACAAACCAAGAAGGTGGAGAGCAAACACAGAAGGTGGACAGCAAACAACACAGAAGGTGGACAGCAAACACAGAGGGTGGACAGCAAACACAGAAGGTGGACAACAAATCAAGAAGGTGGACAGCTAACACAGAAGATAGACAGCAAATACAGAAGGTGGACAGAAAACCAAGAAGGTGGCCTGCAAACCAAGAAGGTGGACAGCAAACACAGGAGGTGGACAACAAACCAAGAAGGTGGACAGCAAACAAAGAAGGTGGACAGCAAACACAGAAGGTGGACAACAAATCAAGAAGGTGGACAGCTAACACAGAAGATAGACAGCAATTACAGAAGGTGGACAGAAAACCAAGAAGGTGGCCTGCAAACCAATAAGGTGGACAGCAAACACAGAAGGTGGACAACAAACACAGAGGGCGGCCTTCAAACCAAGAAGGTGGCCTGCAAACACAAAAGATGGACAGAAACCAAGAAGGTGCACAGCAAACACAGAAGCTGCACAGCAAACACAGTAGGTTGGCAACAAACACAGAAGGCTGGCAACAAACACAGAATGTGGACAGCAAACACCGAAGGTAGACAGCAAAAACAGAAGGTTGACAGCAAACACAGAAGGTGGACAACAAATCAAGAAGGTGGACAGCTAACACAGAAGATAGACAGCAATTACAGAAGGTGGACAGAAAACCAAGAAGGTGGCCTGCAAACCAAGAAGGGGGACAGCAAACACAGAAGGTGGACAACAAACGCAAACACAGAAGGTGGACAGCAAACACAGAAGGTTGGCCACAAACACAGAAGGTTGGCAACAAACACAGAAGGTTGGCAACAAACACAGAATGTGGACAGCAAACACCGAAGGTAGACAGCAAAAACAGAAGGTTGACAGCAAACACAGAAGGTGGGCAGCAAACACAGAATGTGGACAGCAAACACAGAAGGTAGACAGCAAACACAGAAGGTTGACAACAAACACAGAAGGTGGACAGCAAACCCAGAAGGTGGACAACAAACACAGATGGTGAAAAGCAAACACAGATGTTGGACAGCAAATACAGAAGGTGGCCTGCAAACACAGAAGGTGGACAGCAAACACAGAAGGTGGACAGCAAACACAGAAGGTGGACAACAAACCAAGAAGGTGGACAACAAAACCAAGAAAGTGGCCTGCAAACACAGAAGATGGACAGCAAACCAAGAAGGTGGACAGCAAACACAGAAGGTGGACAGCAAACACAGAAGGTGGACAACAAACCAAGAAGGTGGACAGCCAACACAGAAGGTGGACAGCAAACACAGAAGGTGGACAGCAAAAACAGAAGGTGGCCTTCAAACCAAGAAGGTGGCCTGCAAACACAGAAGATGGACAGCAAACACAGAAGGTTGGCAACAAACACAGAAGGTTGGCAACAAACACAGAATGTGGACAGCAAACACAGAAGGCGGACAGCAAACACAGAAGGTGGACAGCAAACAAAGAAGGTTGGCAAAAAACCAAGAATGTTGGCAACAAACCAAGAGGTGGACAGCAAACACAGAAGATGGACAGCAAACCAAGAAGCTGAACAGCAAACCAAGAAGGTGGACAGCAAACACAGAAGGTGGACAGCAAAAACAGAAGGGGGCCTTCAAACCAAGAAGGTGGCCTGCAAACACAGAAGATGGACAGCAAACCAAGAAGGTGGACAGCAAACTCAGAAGGTGGACAGCAAACACAGAAGGTTGGCAACAAACACAGAAGGTGGGCAACAAACACAGAAGGTTGGCAACAAACACAGAAGGTGGACAGCAAACACAGAAGGTGGACAGCAAACAAAGAAGGTTGGCAAAAAACCAAGAAGGTTGGCAACAAACCAAGAGGTGGACAGCAAACACAGAAGATGGACAGCAAACCAAGAAGGTGAACAGCAAACCAAGAAGGTGGACAGCAAACACAGAAGGTGGACAACAAACACAGAGGGTGGCCTTCAAACCAAGAAGGTGGCCTGCAAACACAGAAGATGGACAGCAAACCAAAAAGGTGGACAGCAAACTCAGAAGGTGAACAGCAAACACAGAAGGTTGGCAACAAACACAGAAGGTGGACAGCAAACAAAGAAGGTTGGCAACAAACCAAGAAGGTTGACAACAAATCAAGAAGAAGGACAAAAGTAAACAAATATGGACAACAGGCGAAGAAGTTGGACAAAAGACATTTAAAGATTAAGATTCACCACAAACAGTAGATGACTGAAAACTCCATACAACTATAATTAGTGTTGATTAAGTGTTCATGTATCTGGTTTTTATCTGGACATCACACTGCTACCATCCATCTGTGCTAATATTAACTAACTAATCACCATACAGCATCAATATAAAATACGTGTAACCTACTGAGTAGTTTACTGATCAAAGCTATGTGCTCACTAGGAGGTATTGATCTCAACATGTCCTATATTGATCTTTAACCTTGAGGTTGATAATCTTTTTGATATACCCTTAGTTAGTTTTTTATCAAGTTCTTGACAATATTATTTACAGAACATTTAGGACACAAAAAAACTACTTTGTTTGCCGTCAAACAATTTAACAACCATAGTGCATTTTGCGTGTATCATATTATGAGGAGCACCTCCATGATGTCATCAACATAATCAAAGGCATGTATATAACGTATTTAAATACAACAATACAACTGTGACTGGTTCTAATTGTAAATATTATAACAGTTGCTTTCTTGCATTAGGGAATTCCCTTTAGCTCTATCGGTAGAGCGGTAGACTGGGAACCTGGGGGTCAGTGGTTTGATCCCCAGTGGAAGCACACTACTCTCTTTCCTAATACAAATGGTGTCTGTGGTCCTCCCTGTGGTGACAGGGAGTTAAAACCTGGGCTGTTGTGGTGTTTTAGGGCAAACACATTTTAAAAAGATGGAGTAGTGTGGCAGGTTTTAGTTGTAGATATGGTCACCTTTTAGCATCTTGCTGAAGGGAACTTCCCTTTAACTCTATCAGCAGAGCAGCTGTCTGGGAAGCTGGATTCATTTATTTAATTCTTGGTAGAAGCACACTACTCGCTTTCCAACTATACAAAATTGTTAAAGTCACAACTAAAATTATTAGATATAAATAATTTGAAACAAAACACATCCTCTGGATGAGTATACCAGCTACCGTATGACATATTTTAGAGATTTATAACTTTGCATGTAATAATATTGTTTTTGAATGAACATACTGATGCATTTTTTCATGAAACATACTGAATTAAAAATGTATACTTATAAGTAGAAGAAAACTACAGTAATTTTAACTAGAACTATATCAAACTACCTATGGTATCACTCCTATGCACCAGGTTCCATGGAATATTGGTCAATAAGGTAGGTAGCAATACTGCCTTATTGTCAAAGGGCAGTATTTGTCGAAGTCAAAAAGGGGAAATAACTCTAATAAAAATGACTCAATAAAAACAAAACAAAATTTGAATTAAAACCATAGGATGAATTATCCAGACAATATTTGACTTATCCCTTTGTAAAGGGGACATAACTCCCATAATGATTATTATAGCCAGATCAAAAAACTAGGCATAGGTGCATGACTTCAGAGTGAGGTGACTACATCAATGGAGTTCACAAAAGTTCAGAAAAAGTGAGGGAGTTGTTCAGAAAAGTTCAAATGAACACACAGTGATGGATAGATAGACAACCTAATTCCAGTCGACCCTCCCTCCAAAACTTGTTACAGGGAGGATAACTCAACACATAGGAAATAGAAACAAGTTTGAAGTTCTTTTTATTGTAGGATTTACACGTACAACTACAAAAAAACGAATAAAACGTAAACTTATGACATCAAAACGGAGGTTGTAACACACGCAATATACTAGTCAATTTATTGGATATTGCTTACACTGATTAATAAATAGATCATATGATAAAAAGATATGCCAGGATACTCAAAACGGATCAGTACCGAAAATTATTGATTTTTATAAAAAGACTTCCTAATTATCCAAATGTGTCCACTAATCCTGCTTTACATTCATGTAGCCTAGTAAGAGATAGTGATGCAGCTTGTTCTTGTGCAGTTGTCTATTTAAGAGTCCAGGAAAAGGACTTGATTAAAGAGCAATACATAAACAGCAAACAAGATTATTCCATTGAAGTAATTAAGTGATTAGTTAAACTATTGATACAAATTCCAGCCAAATCCTCAGTGTCAACAGCACCAGATTATCCCAGACCATTCCCACAGACTCTATAACTGTGCTAGACTCCTCATGGAAGTATAATCAACCAACATAAAATCAGGGACAAAATTTGTCCATTATTGATGATAGTGCTGTTTATTTGTGACTTCAGCATCAATGGAGAAGAGCCATGGGAGAGGCTGATTGACCCTGTATCATTAAGAGATGGATAAACACATTACATGTTAATCATTTGGTCTAATTTAAAAGAATGTCTGTCAAGAGTTGTAGGCTTTACAGGTTTTCTGAGTATGAGTCTGGACGAGCATCTATCTGGAGTTTGAGTTTACCAGGGCTAGCCTCTAGAGCTACAGCTTCTCAAAGTTAAAGTCCACTAGTGCATCTGTCCCGAGTTACAGGTTCACCGAATATGAGGGAAGAAGAACTTCTTTACATAGTAATAAGCTCTCCAAGTCTGTGACTAGAAGAGTGTCTGTCAAAAGCTATGTGTTCTCCTATTCAATTAGTTTTAGTCTAGAATACCTCTGTCTAGAGTAACAGGTGCTTCAAGGTTAAATCTAGTCTAGAGTAACAGGTGCTCCAAGGTTAAATCTAGTCTAGAGTAACAGGTGCCCCAAGGTTAAATCTAGTCTAGAGTTACAGGTGCTCCAAGGTTAAATCTAGTCTAGAATAACAGGGGCTCCAAGGCTAAATCTAGTCTAGAGTAACAGGTACCCCAAGGTTAAATCTAGTCTAGCGATACCGGTGCTCCAAGGTTAAATCTAGTCTAGAATAACAGGTGCTCCAAGGTTAAATCTAGTCTAGAGGAACAGGTGCTCCAAGGTTAAATCTAGTCTAGAATAACAGGTGCTACAAGGTTAAATCTAGTCTAGAGTAACAGGTACCCCAAGGGTAAATCTAGTCTAGAGTTACAGGTGCTCCAAGGTTAAATCTAGTCTAGAATAACAGGTGCTACAAGGTTAAATCTAGTCTATAGTAACAGGTACCCCAAGGTTAAATCTAGTCTAGCGATACCGGTGCTCCAAGGTTAAATCTAGTCTAGAATAACAGGTGCTCCAAGGATAAATCTAGTCTAGAGTAGCAGGTACCCCAAGGTTAAATCTAGTCTAGAGTAACAGGTACCCCAAGGGTAAATCTAGTCTAGAGTTACAGGTGCTCCAAGGTTAAATCTAGTCTAGAGTAATAGGTGCTCTAAGGTTAAATCTAGTCTAGAGTAACAGGTGCCCCAAGGTTAAATCTAGTCTAGAGTAACAGGTGCTCCAAGGTTAAATCTAGTCTAAAATAACAGGTGCTCCAAGGTTAAATCTAGCCTAGAGTAACAGGTACACCAAGGGTAAATCTAGTCTAGAGTTACAGGTGCTCCAAGGTTAAATCTAGTCTAAAATAACAGGTGCTCCAAGGTTAAATCTAGTCTAGAGTAACAGGTACACCAAGGTTAAATCTAGTCTAGAGTTACAGGTACCCAAGGTTAAATCTAGTTTAGGGTAACAGGTGCTCCAATGATAAATTTAGAAGTGTGTAAGGTTCTCTTAGTTTGAGGCTAGAATTGTGTCTGTCAAAAGTTACCGGCCACGACAAAAAACCTTCACTTACCAATATTATCTTAGCTTTACTTTATAGGCCCCAATACAGACCTAAACTTAGCAATATTACCCGAGCTCTACTTAATAGGCACCGAAACAAAACCTAAACTTACCAATCCCAAGCTTTACTTAGCAGGTCCTGAAATTAAACTTCAACTTACCAATATTACCCAAGCTTTACTTAGCAGGTCCTGAAATTAAACCTAAACTTACCAATATTACCCAAGCTTTACTTAGCTGGGGCCTGTAACTGAAAGCATACTTAAGGACTAAGTTAGCCTTAAGATTACCTTAATGGTTTATTGTGTAACTGAAAACAAGTTTAAGGTTGGCTTAAGAGAATAATATGTAAAGTGTAGCGGAACCTCTGTCTCTTACCGTTCTCTTAGTGGCAAATTAAGATGGGGTGTAATCGAAAGCCTTCTTACTTCGTCAAGGTATTCTTACGTCCAAAATCAGCACCTCCAGGTGTAACTGAAACCATTTTTATTTTAGAAATGTTGTTTCTTTACTAAGGTTGGTCATGCCCTCTCTTATCACTCTCTTAGTATATAAATCACACTGGGAAAATGGCTGATATGCTCTTCCATCTTCGTCAACATAACCAAAACATTCCAAGACGTTTGTTGCGAGATAGAAACAATCCACTGGATTATTTCAGTGATGAAGCCATAATCTCTGTAATAATATGGAAAATGAACTATCAAGACCAACCAACAGAAACCGGGCTCTTCCTGTTTCATTGCAGGTGATGATATGTCTAAGGTGTTATGCCCGCGGTAGTTATATGTCTGTCATCGGTGATGCTCATGGAGTTAGCAAAATGGCTGTATCGCGATCAGTGAAAACAATATCGTCTTCACCTGCACGACAAAGTCAACGGCATATAGAGTTTCCCATGGATGCCCAGCGCCAAGGTCAGTTGAAAAGATATTTTTTTGCAATTAGGGGATTTCCAAATGTCCTAGGAGCAGTTAATGGGTCATTAATCCCAATATCTACCCCGACGGATGATGAACATTTGTACGTGTCCCGAAAAGGCTTTCATGCCTTGAACATTCAAGGAGTATGTGATGCCAACAATTTATTTTTGAATGTTGTAACTAAGTGGCCTGGTGCAACACATGATGGTCATATATGGAATAATTGTGTTCTAAGTGCTGCCTTTGAAGCGGGCACACTTGCAGGTGGTTGGCTACTTGGGGACAGTTGTTATGGACTTAAACCGTGGTTGCTGACCCCTAAACAGAATCCTCAAACATGC